CGTCATGTTGATATAAGGTTTCAGCCACATGTGTTTGGTTAAATCTGTTCGTCGGAAATAACAGAGTGACATTTTAAAAATCATTTATGTCGGTATATATAGTGGTGAAGCTACTGAATGGAAATAGAATTGAATATCATCAGAAATCGACAAATATTTTTTTCAAAATACCATTCTGTTTACGTTTTTGTAATGCTTTCAATTCCACGTGTGATATGCTACTATCGTCTGAATGAGTCCAAATGTCACCGCTTAAAATGGTGTTAAATTTTTTACCTAGTCAAACGTATACAAATGTATCTTCACACGTGTGTTAATATTCATATATTTTAAGGTTGTACAGCGCTTGTAGAAGAAACAAATTATCCAGAAAAAAATAATAAAGCATTATGCACCTGACACATTTATGATGTTCAATCCGTAATCAGTAGGTTTGTTGTCTATATATCATTTGGTATATGTTGCACTGCGGATCTTGTCTTTTCAATCTGACACGACTGCAGTGAGACATTCTACACATCAATGATCACATATGAATTAATAACCCAATCGTTGATTAAATAATTACCCCAAAGAAGAGAAAATGCCAAATGAGATTGCTATATACATATACTTGTTGTATAATGTGTAATTAGGTTCCTTGAAAAAAGAAGGGATAACTGGTTTGAGCACATGAAGACGTATTTGTTTCGTACTTAAGATCAGGTAACTGGATATTAACATTTTTTAAAACTTCTGTTTTTGCTTTTGAGTCAACAGAACTTTACATGAAGCCCCTACTATAGGATATCATTGTTACGGCCTCGTAGGTGAAAAGCGTTATGAATTTGTTTAAACAACTGTATCACAACAGAAGACTGAATACATAACACACAACAAATATTTGAATAATATTATATAATATATTTCCCCCAAATGTAATCAGTTTTAGATTGAGTATTTTCTGGCGTTGACGTTTTATATTTTATTCAAGCCACGGCCTTTTATTCATTCCATGTTACATCTGACTTATTTGTTTTAATGGCACGTCTGCAAAATGAACCGTTATACGGTAATAATCGGGGTAACCATTTTCTGTGTTAAAGAAGCAAAGGACCTTGTATATTCAGCACATAAATGCAAATATGTTAAGAGTATGTGTCCTTCCGTAATCAGGACGATGTTCAAGTATACAGGGATTAACGATGACAACGATACAGATATATATAAACGCAGGTCAGTTTAGTATCATTTCCTTTTTACAGTTAATAGTTAGTTATAAGATTCCATTTTTAAACAGGTGAATAAAAACGTTGGTGCAGAAAAAGACAATTAACACTATAACCATGATGCAATCGCGTTACTCAATACAACCCAAAAAGATCAATAAATAGGCGCCGTTTTACTAGTTATTCCTTGATACCAAAGAATGAATTTATCTCACAAATTTGATTTTAGCATATCATGAATTATTTATTGATATCGAAAATTTTGACATATCAATTAATGCATTTAATATTTCAGCTTATGTATTTAATCACATAACAAATCAAATTTGTTATATTTTAATGTATCAAAAGTATTTTTTTATATCACATTGTGAGAAATGGGTTGCAGCATATCGGTAGACATATTTTTTCTTTCACATCTCCTACTCTACTGGGTGAATGGTTGTTACTCAACGTTTAGTGATTTTTTTCGATAAAATGAAGCAATAATGACCACGTAAAGTGTTACTGATGGTATGATATGTATAGCCTTTGTCTCCATGACCGTGGGCCAATTTTTGAATATTTCATGTGGATAGGTAGAGTATCGTAACATTTACATGTATGGCCATATTCAGATGATGTCTCTACTTGTAAGTAAGCTCCTGCTCTAAATCTAATCAGTTTTCCCCCTGGCTCTTCCGGACTTTAGGATTACAGATGTATCTTGTTATCATTGTATTTTAATGCGATTTCAATATTTGTATTTACCATCTTCCTTACTACATATTTTACATTGGACGTTTTATGTTTAAATGCCACCATAAATTACAATTCTACCATGAATTTGGAATTTACTCGATTCTGATTGGTCAATCAGAGGATATTCAATCACAATAAACCCCCTCTGATTGAAACAGCTGGTTTGACGGCCGCATCACCGCGGAAGCTAACATTCATAGAATAGTACTATTGTCGGTAGGCATATTTAAATAACTATATCTACAATTACAGTTTACAAAATGCACTTATGCGGTTACTACAATATTCAAAGGATGTGTGGCAATACATTTTGTGCAGAAAAACACGACAGAAATCAACAAAGGGAATGTATTTACGTTTTGGAGACAACAGAGGGCTTGAAATTTTGGCGATTTTCTATATAAGACTGTGACGTCATATCTTTTGCGTCACAATGAGCGATATGACGTCATAATGATGACGTGCGATGTAGAGCGAAAGCCTTGCAAAGCTTGCTTTGTTTTCTTTAGGGATGCCCACCTCATGTTAGCTTACCGAGTTGCCGTGCTTATATGCTTTCAATGCCTGTCATATGTTCGAGTGAAGTATTACGGTGTAAACAAACTGCTTGAGTATATACAGCAACATATTTTGTTCGGTGATTCCGTAATTCAGATCGATAACCCACTCAAAACTCAACCCATGCCGCTTCACTCAGTATATTTGCTAACACCAAAGAGTTTGCGTTTTATTTAGTCATGGTAGAATGGAGATAAACATACTGTGTTTTCAATGTAGAGCTAGGTTACCTGTAGATATAACCGCGCTAAATTTAACATTTGAAACCTCACGCTGCGCGTTCGGTTCCAAATTCAATTTAGCGGGGTTAAATCTACAGGTAACCTAGCTCTACATTGAAAACACAATATGTTATCTCCTAATTATTGCTTTTAAACCCAACACAATTGACAAATATTCTAAAACACATGATTGTAAACTATTAATGTACGTTAAAACAAATACATTTTGTAAATGCCAAAATGATGTATGAAGGATCGAGGAGAAGATATATTGGCAGTAGCACTCTAGTTTATTCACCAGATCCGTGACACAACACTATTTTATCCATTTTAAATAACGCAGTCAAAGCGCAAGTTTTACCTCTCCTGGAAGCCATAGTGCAACGGCCATCTTATACACAACCCTACGCTCACGTCTACTTGGACGTTTCCTGTGGTGCGGCAATTAGTAGAACACCTTCTTTCATTTCTTAAGGGGGCACGGGTGGCCCAGTCTTCTAAGGCGCCGCGATTCGCTGTGCAGAGTTGCGTCCCTTGGGCACGCCGGAAACCTATGATTATGTGTTCGAATCCCGGTTCGCGCCGATTATGGTTCTAGGTTTGTCAGCACAATACCCATGCTCGTGGGTTTCACTGAAGTGGTTAACGTCTGAGACCTGCTTTACTTCGGGCTTTCCTCCCACATTAAGCTGACACGCCGCGATATAACTGGAATATTGTTAAAAGCGCCGTTAAACAAAACTCAGTCACTCACTTATTTTTTAAATGCTGCTCTTTTCCAGCGTCACGACTATGGAGCTGAGACAAGGATATCCAAACCATCATAAAATAATTAGTATGCAATAAAAACAATGCCCCGCCAAACCTCATAAAGATAGTCACTGGAAGTCGCACTGCAGTCGTTTATTGTCAAATCACACAAACTTTTCAATGACAAAAACATTTTCCTGGATCATGTATGCTCTCACACCATCACAAAACATCACGTGGAAGCCAATGGTCGTATAATAAGATGGTTCTGATTCATTGATCACAACAGTACTCATATTTCCCGACAAACCACAGCTAAAAAGGTGACATCAACAAGTACATATCATAATGTGTTTTAACATTTTCGTCAGGACATCAAAAATTGCTTTAATTTTTACAAGTTTAATATGGGGTCCTCCTTTGGTCAAAAGTTTGTTCCCTCCGAAATGCGCGAGTCACGGGTTGCACATGGGTTGCGTCACGCATTGCCAATGCGTGTAAGGGGAATGATCAATAATTATTCATTTTTGGTGTTCATTTTGTATGGATATAGTCAACACTCTGTCAGATATTACAATGTTACTTCTTTTGAGTTTCTGTTTTTTTTTCTGTTTCTATATATTAAACAATATAAATATATTCAACTTTCATTCTCACTTTTGTGTATGAATTAGAGAACATTTTTTTTATGAAAGTATTTTTGACATGAGCACGTGCTAAATCACATAAAACTTATGGCAATGTGTGTGAGAGACACGTGTGAAGGAACAACACGTGGCATTGTTTCTATTATAAAACCACTTAATAAAATCATACCACGCCGTGATATAACTGGAATACTGTTAAAAGCGGCGTTAAACCCAAATCACTCACTCACTAATAAAATCATACAATATAATACTTTGGTGTGTAACAGTTTTAGAAAGCAGTCCCACACAGGTCCAAAACTAATTTCAAATATTAACATGTCTTCTGATTGTGATAAAATTATATCATAATATACAACGACATGCATGTAAAAAAACGTTTCGATAACGTTTCCCTTTCGATAAGGAAATGTAAACATGTGGATGTGTAGGACCATGTTTGCTTGGATATGAATTGCTTTCGTGTGACATTGTTATAGCCTAGTATGTGTCTTGCCATCAGATTCTAATATGAGCGCATTTCGAGACATAAAATATAGTTCACACTGGAATTAGAGAACTTCATGATCTGTGGGGATCAGATCCCCTCATCTTCACATTGTTCGGGCTCTATTCGACATGAATAACGAAAATGTATGATCTCATGTAGTGTAGCATTCACTGCAATATCCACCATCGTTAATGAGCCGAGAACAACGTATTCGCATTCGTTCATTGATTTGAGTAATTATGCTTGTCTTTTAGCATACTCAAAGATTCTTGCATTCTAATCAAGCATCTTGCAATAGAGGATATTTTAAGATATTGTTTGATCCTACCTAGATCATGGTAAACTGATGTATAGTTATTTCACTTTGCAGACACCTACAGTTCGTCACATATTCGTCCCCACAGCATTTGCATTGCACTATGTTTCGTGTCCATGCTGCCTGTGCCACGAGGAAGGCCTTGTACCTTGCAAAATTTACTGCTTTCTCGAGGAGATCAGCTACATTTGAAGGTGACTTATATAGTTATATATTCACACGTTTTTCCATCACAAAAGGATAAGTATATACGTTATGATTTTCGTTTTGAATGCAATGATCACTAATTCACACAGCATAGCCCAGGGATCGGTTCTCTGTGCTAGGATTCACTATATCGTTAGTTACTGTATATGTATAGCTGTGATCTAGCATTCTGGCTATACATGCCTCGGGCACCTTGTTCTTGACAGTGAAATTTATGTACTGAACGATTGCCCTCTTGGGCATTTAATAGTTTTCTGCCAAGTGGTCATTAAAAAGCGAAAGACGATTGCAAATCTAGCACACATGTCTGTACCAACTGAGGTTATCTTGGTATAACTAAAGAGGCTTTTACTGTTATCTTGCTGCAAGATCAGTTCACAGGAAATTTCTATTTCTATTATATTTCTATTAGATTCACCAACGTCAATGCCACATTATGAGTCACTGGTAGATAGGGGTTTATACCTGGAAAGAGAGGTATGTGTTTTTTGCCATATATTTTACGGTATTTGTAATGCGTGTTACATGCAATGTTTTAAGACCATCTCGCTTTTGAAATTTAATATTTACAACGTAAGCTTGGACTCCACGCATTTTACCATGGGGGAAATCGAACCCGGGTTTTTGGCGTGACAAGCGAACCACTCGGCTACCCCAGGGCCCCTATCGCTAAACCACAAACGCCAAAGCAGGTGAATATATTTTATTGACAAAAATGATTTTCAATGTCAAATCTGCCACATTAAATATTGTACAATTAATGTTTTCCGAGTTAAAAACAACCCTGCAAGTAACATTTTCAGGTAATAGTGGATTGAGGTATGTCCGTCAATTCTGTTGCTAAATTATGTGATATTATGTTCTCAGTTTACCTGTGTTAATTAATGGAAAACATTAATAATACTTGCATCATATTAACAAACATTAACAGTTAATTAATTTTATTTTTCATGGCAAAGTTCATATTGGTTTGTGAAGGAAAATGAAATGGGTAACATGGGTAAGGTGTTGAAACGTTGAAACGTGATCAGAATGCATCAGAGATTGCAAACCCACGATCTTACAATTCTTGCACGACATGTGCTCCTCTGCATGCCTCAGACAACTTGGCAAAATGTACTCTTCTTATATATGTTTACCTGTTAGTATCGCAGGTCCGCAAAGGCCCGGATATTTGGTGTCTCTGTGCTGGATGGTGGCAAGAATGTAGAAATACAGTGGAGTAATGGCACCTACTCAAGGTAGGTGTCAGCTGCATGGCTTAACATTAACTGCATGTACATAAGCGTAAAGTACTTTTGAAGACTTGTGCGAACTGCTTCAAAAAGTTCCCTTCATTGATGCAGTATGGCATGGGTTTTTCGACAGATATTATGACCATGAATGCGCACCGTAATGGGACAAGCACTTGTCGTACATTCGCTGTTGTCTGTTGAAGCCATGTTGGTAGTGGATGGTTTTGGATTAGCCAACAACTGCATATAAAAGCGAGAAAACCCTTTCCATATTAACAACAAATCTTTGCTGAAAGCAGAGTCGATCGAACGATTACCACCATGTCACGAGCATGTGTTTATGAATCACTGTCCACTAGTCATGATACCAGGTGTTCGCGATAAGGTGAACGTATCCTGCCCCACGCGGTGGTTAAAACAAAACGAAGCCAACGCAACTGTTTTAAACAAAGGAATCTATGGTACAAGTCAAAATAGGGAATTACATCGGACATTATTTTTGTCACTGATGCGTTAAATTTGGAAATGTCCTTAAACTACCTCCAATAAAACTTTTTGAAAGCGTTTCTGAATGTTTCTGGTGTTGAATGTTGTATACTTGAACAAAACACTTTGTGTGACGCTCTTTGAAATCTTGGTAGAAAGAGCTTGCTGGAGCTGATGGAGTAATATTGCTCGACATAAAAGGAAAGTTCCAAGATGGCGGCAGGCGGAGGTCGTATGTGATATCGCTCCTTGTTGTGTTGCAATTTATGAAGACGCAAAGACGATCCGAAGTAAATAACACGTTTTAGTTGTAAAATGTTGATTATTGTTTAACGCCGCACTCAGCAATATCGCAGCCATATGACGGCGGTCTGTAAATAATCCACTCTGGACGAGCCTGACCACCCGATCCCCTTAGTCGCCTTTTACGGAAAGCATGGGTTGCTGAAAACCTAGTCTAACCCGGATCTTCGCGTGTCTTTAGTGGTATAAATACTGTCAGAGTATACTTCGGATATTCTAGGTGTCCCAATTGCCCGATCCAATCATAGAGCTGAGCTATGATGTCGACTCGAGAGGGGCGAGAGAGGTGAAACGATACGCAAACGCAAACAATACATACGTATGATCGAAACACGAAAACCATCAGGATCACCAACAGACTGGATACCAAGGGATCTAACTGTTTAGACATTATAAATTGGTCTGTATTATTTAATGAATGTTCAAATATTGATGACATGTGTAACGTGTTGTATTGAAAGATTGTGTTTTCCATGATGATCGAAAATTGTCCTGGTTTGATTCGTATTTAGGAAAGGTATGAAGGATACGTAATGTATTACGAAAGAAATCAAGGAGTAATAAATAAACAGATATTACAGCAGATAAAAAAACAACACAAGAAAGACAACATGAAAAGTTATGTTTAGGAAAATATTTATTCAAACATTGAAGAATTTCTTTCGGAATTACACGCAGTGGATAAACAACCGTATTGGAAATTATTAAGATAAGTTATCAAAAAGTCTCGAACATCTTCGAGCATTTCACCGTCAGGAAAACAACATTCGGATGACAGTCCCACTATATTTTCAGATTAGAATAATCCGAGATATTTACAATCTATATCTACCCGAATTGAAGAACGCGAAGAATTAACATATTTCAAGCCACGCACTCAGAGTATTCACGGAAAATGAAATATCTGGCGTAATAAAATGCCGTCAATTTATTACGTCATCTGGTCCAGACAGAATAAGTCATAACCTTTTAAAAAAAACAGCAAACAGCATTAGTATCATTTTACATTTGTTGTTCAATCGTTAATTGACTTTACCTGTATATCCATTATAATGGAAAAGAGCGCATGATATGCCTTTGAATATGAAAGGAGATCATTCAGTTGTGTCAAATTACAGATCAATATTACTCATTGGTTGTACTGTTGAAGTGTTTGAGAGAGTTGTATTTTAGAGAGGCATTTATATAATTATTTTCATGACAATATATTGTTACACAAATACTAGCCAGGTTATCAAAAACGCTATTCCATTGTCAATCAATTAAATGAATTGTATAAACAAATTTGTATATCTTTAGATAGAAGGTAAATATATTTTATGTTTCTTTTGTGATGTGTCAAAAGTATTTGATCGCGTCTGACACAGAGCGCTTATGTTCAAATTAGAAATATATGTTATAAAAGGGAATTTACTTGAATGGCTGTCTAGTTACATGAGCAGTGCCTATCCAGGTTAAGTGAAGACTGGAATTCCACAGGGGTCCATGTTAGGTCCTTTTTTATTCATTGCACTTGCTGATGAAATATATTGCATAACAAGATTCTTTGCTGACGATACAACACTGTGCTCTTCTTCAGCAGATAAACAAATAGTTGAATCAACTCTACATCGTTATGTAACTGAGCAAAATGCTGGTTAATTGAATACAACCCTGATAAAACAGAAGCACTGACAATGTCTTTAAAAGATGAATCAGACCGGTTTACATTGTACTTTGATGAATGTTAAGTTAAGAATGTTCAAAATCATAAACATTTGGGTATAAGTTTTGCATCAAAAGGACAATTGTCCTGTCACGTAGATGACATAATCAAACTGACATCAAAAACATTAAATTCAATGAAAATCTTTAAGGCAGTGCAAATGTTTATAGGTGATTTAAAGATATATGGGTAACTCATAAATGTAAATACTATTCTTACTTTTGTACATTCCTTTTACATCTTTAACACTTATCTTCTTTTCTGTTCTCCCTGTGTATATTTTACTGTACAAGCTTTTGTAAATACCATGGAGAGGGGATCCTAAGTTGGATAACTTGTTTCCTGTCCATTTCAATCTGAATAAAATATATTTATAACAAAGGGAAACTTGACTGTTTGAAAGTCATACAGTCTTTGTCACTTTGAATATTTATGCAAAGATCGAAATATGAAAAAGACGAGGCGACTCCTTCATTTCTAGTTCGAGTTGGTAAATGAGTGGAAGGGGATTTGCCATTCGATGGCTTTGACTAATATGCACAAAGAAACAGATCAACAAGAAGGGGACCATAATTGATACCCAAGGGGATGCGTACTTCTTGCCTACATGTCTTTCCCCCAAAGTTTACTTAAATGAGATACAGTAAGTGAAGAATTTGAATAATAGATTGCGTTTTGCCTATGAACACACGAGACAGAGGAGGTCTACTTGCACTAACGTACCACTACCATGTCTATATATCGCTGCTATATCTATCCTCAAGGTGTGCTTCTTTAGTACTAAGTCTTTTGTAAATAGGTTCGGTATACTCAGTTTGTCTCCTCGTTTTGGTAACGTCTTAGGTGTATCTACCTTTCTGTTGCTTTGGTAGCCTTAACGAAACGTTAATACATGCTAGTCATTCAAACATAATTATTGCTATTAATTTCAGTAAATATTACATCAAGTATTGCTACCCATAGTGGTTTTCTGGATTACTAAAAATGCATTTATGCATATTCTGCTTTGGAAAGAGTATTAAATGTGATTAGTTTTTGAAACTAAAGGAGATTTATGCTAACGAGCTCATGTCAACAGAAACACTGATGTGTGGAATATATCAATAGATAGTAGTTATTATAGATAGTTTATCTATTGTGATTTTGTAATGGTTGCTGTAGTCTAGTGCTTTAATAAATTTAATTATCAGGTGGACGAATAGGTTCAGATGCCAATATCTGTGAAGGGCATTTTCCATGTGCCATACTGTCTCATTCCTTGCATTTTGTGAAACATGGTGTAATATCTCGATCTCTCACTTATTTACTCACACACTCTCCTGATAGGTAGGGGGTGGTCGGGTAGCCTAGTGGTTAAAGCGTTCGCTCGTCACGCCGAAGACCTGGGTTCGATTCCAGACATGGGTACAATGTGTGAAGCCCCCGCCGTGATGTTGCTGGAATATTTCTAAAAGTGGCATAAAACCATACTCACTCACTCACTCCTGATAGGTAGTGACTTAACCCTAAAAACGCTCTTGTTTGTACAAATAAAAGTATTCAAAGAGGTACTTAAATTTACTTAATGTTCATATTAACGACTGTATCTGTGTTTGGTTTATTCTCTAATCTTCTGAGGATTCTACCAAGGAAGTTTCTGAATTATATATCTAAAAGGGTTTGGGTTGATTGTAGGTATCACAGCATGTGGCTAAGACAGGCATGTCATTGTCCATCTTGTCGCCATCCCACAAATCGGTCTACAGTCAACTTTCAGCATGTTGATGTTGACGCCACAATTGTACATGCAGAGACAGAAGGTATGAGCCTCACACTGAGGAAGAGTGGACAAGCTTCTCTCTATTAGAGAAGATGGGAAAAACCACGTTAACAGCATTCAAAGTCAAATGTTATTCTGTTACAATTATCATCATGATACAGGTTCATAACACACCCAAAGACAAAACAAAAATGTGATTCATTTATTAATACATATACACTTTGACTTGCTATATATTCGGGCATTATTTAACTTTCTGTGTTAATTGATGAATACTGCAAGTACAGTACACAATACAGATGTATCCGAGTTCTTTTTCATCTTTATAAAACAGATTACATCAGTTTAGCTAATGACTACAAGTATTAGTGAATAGTGGATATACCCCCAAATTGTGATATCCGTGTTTTAGTCATGTAAATATTTTATGATGGTCTCGTGGAATCATTAGTTTGTCAACTGAATCGCTGATGTATATTTCTTCTACTAGATATTCTTCTTTTATGTAGAAGTTAACATGTTCCCAAATATATATATAACGAAAATGGCTTAATTCCCTGACTGTTGAGTTATTTTTGATAATGTGGCTTTCATAATTTTCATTCAGTTGAACAAGATCACTTGAATACACGGGGGTCTTTTTCGATCCTGTTTGGCAATTCAAACATCACAAAATCTTTCCTAATAGGTGACAAAGTGCTCAAAGTGACCTGGAGTGAGGACTCGAATCACACTGGCGTGTTTCCTCCGCCTTTCCTGAAGCGATACTCTTACAATGACAGAGATCGTGAAGAACGGGAGGCAGAGATGAAAATGATTTTCAACACCAGTCCTCAGGTAATTACTACACTCTCCAGTGGGCACCATTAAAATAAATTCAATTCAAATTTTCACACAATTAGCACTTTGTTCCCAGGTGTTGCTGTGTTAATTAGATGCCATTGCAAACATGCAATTCTTTAAAAAAACGAGGAACCATTTGTCTTTAACGGTCGAAAACACATACATGTAAACTATATTCACTTACTTAACTGAATAAGTTTGAAACAATGTTACAGCCCTCGATTCCCGAAGTTTCCTACAAAGACGTCATGAAAAGGGAATCAGGACTCTACGAGTAAGTTGTTAGTTATGTGTTTTATAATATGAGAATAAATGTGTTATTGTTTTTATACCCTCGTAAGACACTCCGAAATGGGTATCGGGTGGTTGTTACAATGATTCATCTGGCTGATTGTTTGTCACTGTAATGTTGCTAATGCTGTTTATTACTGGTTTAATGGTCAAGACTGTGTTGAAAACAATAATCAGTACACAGTCACTGTTATCAACAATAACACGGACAAGGGAACCTCAGTTGTACATAAATCAGCTTAAGATGGATGTTGATGTTCACATTATAACAGTTGCATCAATGCTGTTTTGTATAGCATACCTTGTATCGGAACATAACAGTTCTGATATTGACGAAGCCCCTTTTCGTTAATTTGTTTTTCACAATGTTTTCTAACGGTACAATTGCATTGTCTCTATGGACTGTCTATCGTTTCGAGGTGGTTGAAAATCCTCAACGAACTTGGCATTTGTCTGGTGAAAGACGTTCCTACTCGAGCCCTCGAGGTAAAGAAGGTGAGGTGGCTCATATTTTTTTCATCGTAACTAAAATGTGTAACAGTGGGGACCCGAGTTTCACGATCAAGGGTACCATTTGATTCAATACGGGCAATGATATGGATTCGGTGTGTCCAATTTCAACCATTCATGTTATGATATTCTATGCGAGATAGTAACTTATACAATTCAATATGATACTTTGCATTAGGTAGCAGAGAGAATCGGTTCTATCATGTCGACTTTGCATGGAGAGGTAAGTACGTGTGAGATTACATAGGAAACTCAATATCGATACATGCAGGATAAAACCGATTTGAACAATGGAAAACTTATTGACCGTATAAACGCAATTTTATAGTATAACGTGACTGTTGTCCAGCCACAGATGTTTATATTATTACACGTCTAATACTTTTCAATGTAATCATGTGTCATTGTATTTACAGATGTTTTGAAAACCACGTTATCACTTTTGTTTTGTTTTGCTTAAATAGGTATTTGATGTAACATACAAAACTAACCCTACGAATGTGGCCTTTTCCGAAGAAAGGTTACAGTTACACATGGATCAAATTGCTTATGAATCACCACCAGGAATCCAGTGTCTTCATTGTCTAAGGTGCTTATAAGATATCTCGTCAACAAAGTGGACACAATTTATGGATAACAACTTCCTTATTTCACTGTAATGACGACGTTTCGGTATAGATCCTTATTTCGTTATCCTTGCTCTGTACCGAAACGTCGCCATTACAGTTAAACAAACAATTTGTTATCCATAAATTGTGTCTACTTTGTCATCCCGACAACGTCCAAAAAATGCCTATCAAACAAGTGATAACTCTTCAAATAAAGTTAAATGTTATTTGAAAATGAATGGGTGTTTTTTATAATCAGATTTGACAAGGAGGTTAAGGGTGGTCATTCCTTCTTTGTCGACATCTTTCACGTTGCTGAGACTTTGAGGACAACATACCCTGAGGAATTTCAAAACCTTTTGCGCATACCAGCAACGTTCAATAACATCTTCTATGCCAGGTGAGTATACACACAAGTTTAATCCCTTTCTTCACATTTAAATGTCCCCTTTAAAACTGCCAAAAGAAATACAAACCGTTCCTTCCTAGCATTAGGTTTTTTGTTTGTTTGTTAGTTGTTTCACGTCACACTCAGCAATATTCCAGCTATAAGACGGCGTTCTGTAAATAGTCAATTTGGACCAGACAATCCAGTGACTGACCTCATGAGCCTCGATCTACGCAAATGAGATTCGATGACTTTCGATGCATCAACCAAGTCGGCGAGCCTGTCCACTTGACATCATAGTTAGTATTGGCAGTATCATGAATAGAAGAAGCAGTATTTAACACGGCGATTGCTATGCAAGACACATCCATAGCCTTATGTAGATAAAGTTGAAAACCACACTACGAATGTTTCTGATATTCGTGAAATGAAATCATTTCATCATAAATTGATATTATACACATCACTGATTTAGGAGATGTTGCAGATATAGGAGCATAAGCACGAGTTCATGGGATCAGATGCGGATTCATGTCATAGTTTTCAAATCACTACATGTCCTTGAATTATGACTACTTTCTCTTGCAGAGAGGCCCAATTCCATATGGTGTACCAACGACCGCACATTACACTCAACCATGATGGAATGGTATCGAAGTATTATATCTTTTAAATGATCCACCAGAAAAGAAAAGAACCTCAGTAAATGACCAGCCTGCAGTTGATATGTTCGAGATTTCATGTCTACACGTTTTGTCTTTTACAGATTGTTGGTGTGGCCTGGCATCCTGGTGTGACTGGGCCTTTGATGACGAAGGAGGTAAACACTGAGGGAGTACTATTCGTACCTAAGAGTTGCCTTTTGGTAGCAATGTTTTGACATGTATGAACGTCTTTCAAAAGTTATTCTTAAGACCGCCCTGTATGCATTATTTCAGGAGGACGTGGAGGACTATTATAAAGCCTACAAGTGCATGGCAACAATGTTGAACACATTCCCATACCAGGTAATAGCAACACCATTTTTACATTTCTTAGATGGTCCCCACAAGATGATGCAGGAAAGACTCTCTCTCTCTCACTCTCTCTTATAATACATGTTTTATAGAAATATAGGTGGACGTAAAGTTGTCTTGTTCAATTAGGTGTTCGTCTCTTTCAGTATAAATGCCGTTTGGAGGAGGGAGACCTTATCTCCTTCAACAACAGACGTGTTCTTCACGGACGAGATCATTATGATACAAAATCGGGCCACAGACATTTGCAGGTATTTGAGGATTTGGCAGCGCCACAAAAGAGTGGCTCTAAATTTCTGGGCACCTTAAACCTTATACTGTACCCATTAACCTTTGCATTTGTAAAGATACACTTTTACAAGTGTTTCATTTTTTAAATCAAAATAATTAGTTATAGGAAGAATTTAACACCTAAAATAAAAGAACTGATTACTCCAGAACACTGCTGAATTAATGAATACTGATGTTGTTTGTATAATGGGATTGTTTGTTTGTTTGTTTGTCGTTTAACGCCGCACTCAGCAATATTCCAGCTATATGACGGCGGTCTGTAAATTATCGAGTCTGGACCAGAAAATCCAGTGATTGACATCATGAGCACCAATCCGTGCAATTGGGATCGATGACATGTATCAACCAAGTCAGCGCACCTCACCACACGATCCCGTTAGTCGCCTTTCACGACAATCATAGTCGTCTTTTACGGCAAGCCTGGGTTTCTGAAGACCTATTCCAACCCGGATCTTCACGGGTCTGTTGAATTGGAATTCTGCACGTGTTCCACGTTAAGAAAAATATCACCTTTGATCGACACTGTAAAAGAAACTGGTATGTTTGTGGAAAAAACCGTTTCTAAATGTAAATGTAAATACAGGAAATCTTGCTGACTTTTCTTTGGGTATTGCACAATATTTTTATTTGAATAGCATGGAATTTGGCATGTACTTCATGTAAGTTCACAATCCTTTCCACTATTTTGATTGAATTATATTTTGTTTCAGGGATGTTATGTTCAAGTAGACGAATTCAAGAATCAAGTGCAGGATTACTCCAACACAATGGGAGATGGCAAACTGGCAACAAGAGTTGGCAATCTTGACTGGGAATAGACGGCATTTGCCTCATCCGCAATAACTACACTCACGCTAATGATGTAGCTTTCTGTGAAGTGGTACAAATACCGCATATAATCATATTGATAATTTCGGCAGTACCTTTTTACAAAAAATCGGAGTAAGCTGAATTTTACAATGGCATTGCTTAAGTTAATGATGAGAGAGACATAAAATACAAAAGTTCAAAGATGGGCTGTGTAGTCAGTTTCACTATTAAGAATACTTCATTATAACCCAAACACACAATTAGTCACTGTGTACACAATGGCGAATACAATCTGGCAACTAACATTTATGTGGCAAAGCAAAATAGGTGAATAGTCAACGTGATGCAGAAACTCCACCAATCGGCAAACAATCTGTATTCTGGTCACAAACATATTCCGATCACTTCGATTATCCAACGAAACATTGTGCACAGACTCGGTCTAACTCAAATCACAGTTCCACTTTTCTGTCTCTCACAAATGACCAACATGGCCGAATACATCACACGATTCCACTAGTACGAATGTCACAGACCAACGTGGTCAATACAGGGACCTAGTAAGTGTGAGACGTCCGCCCGGACCCGCCTCAGCTCTCTAAATCAAAACTCTGTCACAATTCTACACGCTTGGGGTAGCATACCGACCCATCACAGTGGCAAAGCTAATCCATTACCTAATCTATAACGTAAATAACCTCAGTAGTTGGTGGCCCCGGTCTGGAACCGCTCCTGGCTTCTGATTGGTCGGTTTGATGACATTATCAGAGGTCACGTGACCTGCGCAGGGCATTGTGGGTCATGCGTGACTACTTCCCCTTTTCCTCCAACGGGATGGGCGCGTCCACCTCCATGGCATCCTCCCCCTTGCCCCCCTCCTCCTCCTGGGGTGATGAACGTCGCTGACGTTTTGTTGGTGAATGAGTTGAGAGGGTTCCGTCCTGTTTTCTTTTGCGTGTGCTGCCCTCCTCCTCCTCTTGGTTCTTCTTCTTGGGTTTTTTCAGCCAGAGTTGTCAACCAAACTTACACATCGCGTTGCGTGGTGGGGCCTCAAAACACGATCTCGCGGCTGGGACCATAACCTTCTTGTCTCCATTGACAGTGTTTGCACAACTCCTTGGTCGCTTCACCGATGCATCGTCCACATCCTAACTGCACCACGCACAAATTTGGGATGTGCTCCCCCATGTCTTGCATGCATTCAAAATCATAGAAGTCGTATTTGACGTTGTCTCGTCGGTTTTGGTTGTAGCATTCTACCTCTTCCTCCCCCTCCTCTTCCTTGTGGGCTTCACGGAGGGGTGTCATGTAACAGCGATGATCTGGGGGTCATGGGAAGCCAGGAGCGGTTCCAGACCGGGTGAGGGGGGGGGGGGGGGGGGGGGGGGCAGTCGTCTAAGGCGCCGCGATTCGCTGTGCAGGGTTGCGTCCCTGGACACGCCAGAAACCTATGATTGTGGGTTCGAATCCCGGTTCGCCCCGATTATGTTTCTAGGTTTGTCAGTACCATACCCGTGCTCGTGGGTTTCACCGAAGTGGTAAACGTCTGAGACCTGCATCACTTCGGGCTTTCCTCCCACATTAAGCTGACACACCTCGATATACCTGGAATACTGTTAAAAGAGGCGTTAAACCCAACTCACTCACTCACACTCCAGACCGGGGCCACCAACTATTAACCTCTTTTGTTACAATACATGGTGACTCTTTGGTTAATATACATAATGCTAACATATAACAAAGATATATATATATATATATATATATATATATATATATATATATATATATATATATATATATATATATATATATATTGTGTGTATATATATATATATTACAGCGTATCAAATGCTTTATACATTGTATGTGTGAATTTCTATGCAGGCCTTACTAATGTGTTTGGGTTCCCCATCAGGAATTGTATGCTTAAAAGCGTCAAAACTACGGTCTTTAAAATCTTCGTAGAAGGAGCATCTGTACTGTAGAGCATCATTGCACTGTACAAGTTGTGACACCAAAGGCTGGAGCTGCTGGCATATTACAATATGGGAATTGAGCAAAACTGTGGTAATGTTGTCCATACGAGGAATTAGTTTACAATTGAAGATATGATAACAGATCTTGGAAATTGTTTCTGGATAACTGTTGGTAAAGAATTGTCCCAAATTCTTTACCAAGATTGAGGATTATTTGTGATTCTCTTTTCTCATACGAAGTATATAAATAATTATGAAAATAGTGTTTAAAACAGTCCTAACTGTAAATTATTAGACTGAACATATTCATGTTATTTGGCAACAATCAAAACAGGGAGCCATGTCCTGCCCTGGACTGGTTTACCTGCCCTATACAGCTTGCGCTCCTCGCCTGCAGCCGCTAAAAGGCAGGGTACCAGTCTAGCTCTATCCGACCCATTTCCCCATAAGCAATTCGCTGCAATGAAACGCCGACCCAGTTCCGTGAACCAGGTCTGTCTGTCGGGAGGGACGGCGACAAGCATACAACATATCGCTATGCCGGAATCGAAGACCCCCTTCTGTGTGACGAGATATTAGAACTTTTGGACAGTGGGAATAATTCACTTGTTGTGCTACAGGAGTAAACATATTACCATTAGGGAGGTAACGCTCATTGAGAAGTATGGTTCATGGTTAAATTTTAATTATCTGCATGTCTCCATGTGCAGATCTACTTCATTATAAAATAATAAGGCGCGTATGCTTGTCGTAAGAGGTGATTAATGGGGTCGGGTGGTCAGGTTTGCTGACTTGACTGACGCATGTTATCGTATCCCAATTGCATGGATCGATGCTCATGATGTCAATCACTGGATTTTCTGGTCCAGGCTCGATTATTTACAGACCGCCGTCAAATAGCTGGAATATTGCCGAGTGTGGCGTTAAACAAAATATTATAATATTACAACAGTGTAGCTATTACTTTTTTATTAAATAAATATTTAAACTGAAATGTGCCATATTCTCATTCCTGATTCTGAAGGTACCACATGCAAATTACTTTTTTTTTAATCTTCGGGTTACACATGTGCGCTTTACAACAGTACAGGTACTTGCATCAAAGGGTATGTGTGTGCTACAAAGTTTCTTTGCGCCGTGTTGATCCTCTGGATCAAAGTTGTCTTGTCTACCGTTTGTCCCAAAAACGAGCTGATTCTGTGCCTTACAACATGCAGCTGTTCGTATATGGTCGTAAAACTTGTCAAAGAAACTTTTGTTGTTGAGTATATATCATTAACCATGTGTATCTGGACATGCGTTCATTACTATTAGGTATACATAAATATATCAAACTAAGTACATGTATCGAACTAAGTACGTAATGCCATTAAACAGCAAGTCAATGTTTGAAACATTACCCAATTTGTTGGGCATGAAAAGCCATGTTGTTAAGAAATAAAGTGTACTCTAACCCCACGTGTTGTGTAATAAAGTATAGTTTGGCCCTGAGCTATTATAGTTAAAGCTCGAGGAAAATTACTTTTCTAAGGACCCGTGAAGATCCGGGGTAGAACAGGTCTTCAGCAACCAATGCTTGCCGTAAAAGACGACTATGATTGTCGTAAGAGGCGACTTAGGGGATCGGGTGGTCAGGCTCGCTGACTTGGTTGATGCATGTCAATTACTGGATTGTCTGGTCCATGCTCGATTATTTACAGACGGCACTCATATTACTGAGTGCATCGTTAAATAACAAACAAACAAACTTTAACTTTTATTTGATATGTTACATGTATTGTCAGCAATGACTAAACGATTTGTGTTTTTTCCGTCCAAACGTCTCGTTACAATCTGCAATTTTATTTATGTAGGCTTACAGACGGTCGGTGATTTCCCGCCGCTGTGTTTTTGTCGTCCGGATAGGTGCGCGTGGATTTAATTCGCGTGTTGTGGCGTGGATGGCGTCACGCCGAAGAGCTGATCTCATATTGTGTTCGTATAATGGACACACGCAGTTTCAGTTTCTACATGATAATATTCTGTTTGACTGAACTGATGTGAACTAGAACGTAGATCTATTACATCACGCTTAGGAAGTAGCGAGTAAATGAGACCGTTTTATTGCTCGATCGACAAACACCGTTAGAAATTGGCGCATCAACATAGAGTTGAGTAAAGAAATGGAATGCAGTGAAAAAGTTGTCAAAATGGGTCCAAGATTTAAACAGCCGTTTTGATATTTTAGCCATACATATTTCTCTCGAATGCATCAGTTAATAGTAACGACACACAATATGGATACCTGATATCTGAATGACAAAATGTGTTCATTGTAAAAGTGATTTCGTTTTGATGTTTTGAATAGTATTCGTTATTTGTTTTAGTACCCTGCATTATATAAATGATCAAATAGTTCGACTAATGGCATGTGATTCACATACATATTTAGGCATATCTGATTTTTTGGGGTGTCATCTTTTCCAAAACAGAATTTAAAAAAAATCTTGTCTAAGATCAAGGTGAATGCATATTTGTGTTTATTTAGATGTATTTTTCACAATCTGAAATCATTTATGTTCCCTCTATGCTTTAGTTTATTTACCTAGGCCAAAAGTATATAAATTAAAAATAAGAAAGAGCGAGGCATAATTACTGAAAACATTTTATTATCGATTTGGCTAGTTTTACTTTCGTAGTTCTATTTTGAAAAAAAACTGTATAATATTCTGCTTTTCCTTTTATGACAAATACTTACAATAGTTTCATTTATCTATGATCATTAACTATTTAAAACGTTTCATTGGTAGAATGGGATGAATTGGGAATAATGACTTGAAATGTACCATAACGTGTGATTTATACGCACGTGTATACTCGGACCCCATGGTACCGCGGCATTTGTGATTTCCGATAGTTCACGCGGGACACGCCTCTTAGCGGCTGTCTATTGATGCAAATCAGTAACCAGGAAGTGCTCACTTCGTAAACAATTTCAATTTCCTCGGAATGTTCCGTCTGCTGTAAGTAAGGAGTTATTAATCAGTTGATACATATTTCTGGCATCTGTTGTAATATTGCCTTACCCCCATCTATCAATGGCCAACGATATAACCCGCAGTTCCCCAAGTAAACTTTCTCTATCGACCTGAACTAGACCATCTGCATATTCATGGCGACTAATGAGGTAACGGAAGTTACGTAGTCCGCACATTTTTTCCCGCTCTGTGCCCAGAATCTATTGGGAGATCATAAGGGCCATAATGCCAAACTTAGAAATACGTTCTTCACTATTAACCAAGAGATAAATACATAATTTTGGCATACTTTTTATATATTTATTGTTGACTTTTAACATTTTTCCATTTTGTGACAAATTATTGTCATCCAATTTTTTTTAAACAATCTTAAAATATCATTTCTGATATTTTGATGTTGACTTATAAAAATATTTTTCTCTTACTTTTCGGTAAATATGCATTGAATACCTATTGCTGATAACACATTTAGAATTTTACTTGTGCTGTCTTTGCACTTGTCTGGACAAATCACTGATGTCTGGCATGATCATACCAAGTGGTTGGTAGAATTATGTCTTCTTTTTGTCCAATTCGGACCTCCATACACAACTTTTCTCTGTACCGCGATACGATGGAGTTCTCTCCCTTGTCAAATTGAGCGGGAGGCCCGGCTTTTACTCGGAGCTACTGCTGTAAATAATGAACTTTTATCAGTAAAATATGCATATACACGAATAAACATAAAGGTTAGTGAGTGCATTTTGTTCCGTTTAGCGTACATGACAAGTACCGCGATACCCCGAGGTTGCAGGCTATATGCCAAGGTGTAAACACCACTTTGAAGTCGTATTTATGGAACTAACTTTGAAAGATAGAGTTTTATTTCATGGACTAGCCATACAAACACATTTGAGCATATGTCTTAGTAAAGCAGCCAATGTTGAGAGTACAAGGTGAAAATACAAGGTGAGACGAGGATGTATGTTTTCTCATGGTCATAGTGAAATAAATTTGTTCAGATGTTTAAGCACATGGACAGTATACATTAAACAACACATTAATCGAAGTAATTCATACTTTCGTATTGTTCTCTTTTATTTAATCTTGATATTATTTATTATTGTACTGTAAAAACAATAATATTTCCTTCTTTCACCTGCGCAAGTTATTGTTACCTTGTATTAAATATAGCCTACTCTACACGTCTTAAGCTTTCAAATTCAAGTATTACATGTGTCTTATTATTTAAAGTTTCAAGCTTTTTAATCACTCAGATTTAAACCATTTACAATCCATCATAACATCCGAAGTATATGCAGTCTGGGTGATATTGATATTGACCAAATATTTATGGATGGTAGTATGTTGGTATAGTCTTGTTGATTATTTAGAAATATATAATGATGTCCGATACTGAGCGATCTCCATTAAATCATGATGATTGTTTGGGCTGTTTCGCCATTTTTTCTTTTGAAACTGTCCGATGTCAATATACTCCGAAGTTGTTTTTATCACTAATGAAAGAACACTGACACTGAAATGTGAATGGACGTAATTGGCTTTTCATCAAGATATATAATCCAAATGTTTCAGGGTTCACGGAACTAAGGAAAGAAAACAACCAACTGAAGCGTCTGGAAAATCTTAGTTTGTCAGATTTATATAACACTTTATATAATCCCATCACTGTCAGTATGCTATCTGTTTCTATATTTATATTGAGGTTTATTAGCTAATAGAGCGCATCCAAAATATATTGTAACTATGGGTCATGTGGCCTTCTTTACTGAATAAAATTCTGTCTGTCTGTCTGTTATAATCCAAACTGGCAATCCTTTTGTAACATAATCTTTGAAACATTAACTAAGCACGACAACTTCCGTCTTTTGTTCTGACGTCAAAAATCCTGACAATTTCATTGGGATTTTTTCTCAGTAACTTTAACTCAAGGAAAATTCTCAATGAAAGTACATGAGAAAGGATATGTACTTTCCAATGCTATGAATTATTGGAAAATACCGTTACACTGTGTGAAGATATAAGAACGTTGTAACACTTCCAAAACATTGTTTACGTTTTTGAAACCGCCACGTCATCATAGTGGTGAACTAAGCGGTATGTAAAGCCAGGTATCATCCAATTATGATGTAACGTAAAAAGTGTATTTTATTATTTATTTCATTTACCATTCAGATTAAAATCAGCATTTCAATCCAGTATTTTCTACACCCTATACAGCGGAATGACAATTTGTCGAATGACGTCAACAAGCTTCAGCTAAGACGTCGTTTCCATTGTGAGGTCATTCCGTCTACACGTCGCAATAAGATTCGAATGACGTCAACAATGCCGCCCGGATGACCGAAACAATACACTGTTGTCTCGTGACGTAATAACACCCTAGGGCACATTTGATTTTTATGAACTCCGATATGTTTGCCCTGGTAGGTAATAAATGAAGTTACGCAACGTTGACAGCATGACGTAACTTCAATGACGTCGACGTTTCAGATCCAGGACCTTGTGGTTTCCGAAAAGATTCTTAAATATTTTTCACAATATGCCGATTTTAATTAATAAGAAAATTAACTTGAATATCAATTACAACGTCATGAACAAATCTGAGAGCCAGTGGATTGCTAGACATTCTCCTAAATTTTAAATAATTCGGAAGGTAACTGCCGACGTTCGACATTCCGTAATTATAGTAGATGCGTTTAAGTAATGCATCTTGGAGTGAGTATTTGAGTGAGTGATTTGGGTTTAACGCCACTTTGAACAGTTTTCAAGTTACATCACGGCTTGACAGCTTAATATGTGGGAGGAAATCCCGACATGACGCAGGTCTCAGACGTTTATCACTTAGGTGAAACCCACGAGCACGGGTATGGTCGGGACAAATCTAGAAACACAATAGGGCCAACCCGGGATTCGAACCCACGAATCGAGCATAAGTGTCTGCCTTGCCTTCGGGCTCGCCTGTGAGTTTGTTAGTTATTATTATTAGTTACATGGTCCAGTGGTCAAACCGATGAGCACGATTATGTGCTAGCAACGACGATTTCAAGCTGATTTGGTTCTGAGATTCGAACAAACTATCACTGGATTCTATGGCTGGCCTAAGGGACGGAACTCTGTACAGCGAAATGCCTGGGCAACCCGGTCGTGCATGTCCCGGGCAACCCGGCCGTGCATGTCCCCTTCTATAAGTGGCTTCTGAAGTGAGAATAAATAACGAGAGTGACACGAAACAAAGCACTGTGTAACATATTAGACACATACCATAGTCGACATTGTCACCTGTGACACACAAGCGTACGTCTGTTTTCCTGAGAAGTCAGCCATGTGCTGGATGAGGGGCGTACACCACATAACCAATGGTAGGGGCAATAAATAGTATTTTTGACAGAACCGACCAATCAGCTGTCGTGAACAATGTGACCGTGAGCCTGGAAAAATGCCATACGTATAACAAGCCATCAGTCAGCACACAGCACATGATCACGAAAAGTTCGGACTCGAAGCGCAGCACAATTGCAACACATTGACAACATCTACAAATATGTCCGATAGCGAGAAACGTGTTGCTGTTGTTGGTGGTGGGTTGGTGAGTATGACACGTTTACATGCTATCTCAGGCGAACCCTCCTAACCTACATGTACTCTTTGCTTATGAAACTGAAAGCGACCTCTTAACTGGGGGTACTGATATAATATGCTCTTTCTAACCTGTTAGTCAAGAGCCTAGCAGCTGAGATATGTAACAAAATATAATAATACTACAATAATAATGCAAGTCTCGTTCATCCTCGTACCGAATCACAACTGAGATCCACTAAACCTGCTGTTTATAAATGGAACTGACACTCTGTTTGTGTGTGTGTGTGTGTGTGTTTTCTGTGAATTAAAAATTCTGAATTTGTTTAATTTTTCAATCTTAAATAATTCAACATATTTAGCAAAAATATGTTTGGTCCATCTTCAGCCCATCAAACATTAGTACATTTATATCAGCTAAGAAATGGGAATTTTGGAGTTATAAGAGCTTCTTGAAATAACGGCAGTGGGGTAGCCTTGTGGTTAAAGCGTTCGCTCGTCACGCCGAAGACCCAGGTTCGATTCCCCACATGGTTACAACGTGTGAAGTCCATCCTGGTACCCCTTGCTGTGATATTGCTGGAATAGTGCTAAAAGCAGCGTAAAACCATACCCACCTACTCTTAAAATGACAAGAAATTGTTGCTGCAAAGATCAGCGCTATCATGCATGCAGAAAATATAGTCTTTTCATTGACCCTGAAACAAAATAATGTATCAAATACAGCCGATGCATGCCTAGATTAGTTGGCAATCTAGGTTATTTAATGTTTATTTTCTGTAAAATATTTTCTTTTCAGAAATAGGTGTTAGTCTACGCATAAATTAAGGCGTTCATATTTCACGGCATGACCCAAAGGTCAGAGGTCATGTGTGTTGTGATAAAGGAATCTCTGGGCAGGTGTTTTTTATCAAGCCGCATACTGCTATATTGAGGGAGCAGTTCCTTCACTAGACCCACATTTAGACTATGAAATCTTATGTAACACAATATCCTTCTGGACTCTTTAAAAAAAGAATTCTCTATGCTTTAGTCTAAGAAATCTTATACAACACAATATCCTTCTTGACTCTAGACAAAAATAAGATTTCCCTTTGCTGATTTCATAGCTGGCTAGACTTGCTTTTGTATGCGTTTCTACATTGTTTTCTTTTTCATAAAATAAATATATTCCACAGTCATGGTGCAGGACTATTCTTTCACTACAAACTGAAGAAATGTATTGCTGCTGTTGCAATTGAAAAATAACATTTCTAGAACTAAAAATATATTCATGCATACTTTAAAATGTTGGGTCACTACACCTTTTTTTATATCTTTCCTTTGCTTCTATTTACTTGAGCAGGAAAACTTTTGTTACATAAAATAACTGGTCACCGCAATTTTCCAGTGCACAATCTCAGAACAATAAATAATAACATTGTAGCTTTTGCCTTCAAGTACATTTGAGTATTATTTGTCATTGAGACTTAAGAATCCCCAGCACCCCATGCTTGTCATAAGCTCTAGAGACTAGAATAAAGATCTGATCTGAATATTTTAGCTTATATGTATTTTAGAGTCTTGGTCTGACTGAGATGTGCCAGACTGAGGAAGCAGAACTTGGCATGTATGGTGTTCTATGTGACGACGTCATAAATATTTGAATTTTACTGTGATTTTTGGATGGCATTAGAAAAATTCTTCTCCTTAGAAGGTTTTTAAGGCTCATAGTTGAAACTTTGTGTTTAGTAAATTTAACTGTCGTGTTTTGCAACGAGGTTGTACAATAGTACATTCATTTGTGCAGATTTAGAAACATTGTGGATAGTTAATTACTTGTTTCATATTTGTTAATATGTTTGTTTTCAGTATTTTATTATTTTAGTGAATATATTTGAGTAGCAATGCTGACAGCAACATTTTTTAAGTGGCTGTCTCTCTTGACATTTTAGACTGTGGCACTATTTTTAATCATTGGGAACACACCAGGGACGAGAGATATGCCAGATTGCACTTGTTTGTTGACCTGGTTAGAGAAATTCATGGATCAGGGATGTCAGTGTTGTGAAAGTATCCTTTATGTTTACAAACTTGTGTCTGTTCATGTCAATTAATTGCTTGTATTTCATTGTTTAGTCTCTGGTTAAGTAAATATTTTTATGTATGCACATATTCATACATACATACATGAGAAAATTCTTATATTTCGGAATTGTCATATATCACAGCAAATATTAACTCAAAGAATGCGACATATTTGATCAAGTAAAAATTCCCAGTTCATTATTAACATGATCTTAATTCCTGTATGACGTCGCTGTCAGCCTTTCAGTTCATTCAATATTTCATCTCAAGAGCAGACTTGAATCAATGATGGTCAAAGAATGATATTAATTATAAAATAATGAGATGTCAGGCATTTATGTACATAAAAAGAGGTGAAGTAACACAATTTGGATGTTAGCTTTCTAAAACAAATCTGCTTCATTCCTCTACCATTATTGATTTGGAAATTTTGATCTTTGTAAAAGATCTCCACAGAAGGCGAATGTGTTTGTTTTTGTGTGTTTAATGTTTAAAGCCGCACTCAGCAATATTCCAGCCATATGATGGCGGTCTGTAAATAATTGAGTCTGGACCAGACTATCCAGTGATTGACATGAGCATCGATCCATCGATACAATGACATGCATCGACCAAGTTAGCAAGCCTGACCACCCAATCCTGTTAGTTGCCTCTTAGGACAAGCATGGGTTGCGACAAGCATAGTCGCCTTTTATGGCAAGCATGGGTTGCTGAAGACCTATTCTACCCTAGATCTTCACAGGTCCAGATGACACATATATGCCCTCCTCGACAGTAAACCTTTTGGGGTGTAGATGCCACTGCGCTCAGAAACAACAAAATGTTTTAAATTCATAACTCCTCGATTTTCTTTGTTTGTGAGATACGAATTTAGATACACTTGTCTGAATGCATTTCTGACTCGTACAAACAATTCGTAATGCAGATTGCTTGGAAGATAATGTACCTGATGCAACCTCCTCTGGGTAGTCTGCAGACCTTCATCCAGAGATCGAGGACTGCCTCCGTGGTCTAGTGGTAGAGCGGCCGCCAGGAGAGCGGAAGGTCCGGGGTTCGATCCCTGGCCGCGTCATACCAAAAGACGTTAAAAGATGGTACTTGTTGTTACCCTGTCTGGCGCTCATTAAGGGGCTAAAACAAGGACTGGTTGGCTCAGTCAGTATACTGTGTCTGAGTGGGATATTCATGTTAAACTATGGCATGGTATCTCAGTGAGCTAGCACTATCAATCAGCATCAGTCCGGACTAGTACAAGCAGCCACACAAACACATACACGTACATGCACGTCGCTATATATATCTTGGACGCGACGTTAAACCAAATTTCACCTCACCTCATCAAGAGATCGAGGTATCATATCATGGTGCTAAACTGAACTAATCATGTTACAGAACCAGTGAACAGATCTTGCCACAGTCTCAACTGGTAAATGACATAAATATAGCGACAAAACCCTTTCCATATCCAATAGAAATCTCTGCATAAAGCTGAGTTGATTGTACGATTCCAGCTATATCATAAGCATGTGTTAGTAAGGATACAAGGTGTTCATGAAAAGGGGCGTATCCTGTCCTACCTGTGGCACACGTCACACACACATGCAAAGGCAAGTCAATTGTTAACCAGAAAAAAACATGGGAGCATATGGTACAAGTCAAAATAGGGAATGGCATCTGACATCATTTTTGTCACTGATGCGTCAATCAAATTTGGAAATGTCCTCCACATGTCTACCATAAAACTTTTTGAAAGCTTTACTGAGGCCTTGAATGTTGTTACTTGATCAAATAACTTCTGAGCAAGAGTCGTATGATGCTCTTTGAAATCTTGGTAGAAAGAACATGCTTGACGGCATCTCAAAAGTTGTGAAATGTAAACACCAAAGGTTGGAGCTGCTGGAATATTGCTCGACATAAAGGGAAAGTTGACTATTGGAAAGTTGAAGTCATCTCTTTTGTCACTCTGAATCATTATTCCTAGATCTAAATATGAAACAGATGAGGTGGTGTCATTGGTCTCCTTTATTTCTAGTTCTGATGGGTAAATCAGTGGAAGGGAATTGGCTATTTGATTGTTATCGAACAATATTAGATCATCGAATATACCTGAAGCTTACATTAAACTTCTTGGCCAAATTACCTTGTTTTAACTTCATGTGCTTAACGAAACAGATCAGCAAGAAGGGGAGCACAAATGGTGCCCAGGGGAATGCCTACTTCTTGCCTAAATGTCTTACCCCCAAACTTTTCGTAGATGTAATCAATGAGGAAGTCCAGCATTTCACATATTGTTTTCTCTGTAAACTTCAGATGGCATTTGCTTTTATTCTTCACAAATTGTCCTGAACCTCTGAATATAGATACGTAACTGTCTGTGTTCACCATGTTTTGTAACTAAAGCCCCATGGATCAAGGAATGAAGTTTTTCCTTTAGTTTGTCATGTGGGATCGTAGTGTACAAAGTAGAATGTAAACTGGAAATGATACTCAAACATGGCATGATAGTAAAATCTATCAGTGCAGGACACCAAATGCCTGATAACCATGTTATGATCGATGCTCTCTTTCCAGCATGCCCAAGGAACCTGTCGGAAACATTTTTTGTCGTAACATCAAACAAGCAAACAGACAGACATTATGTTCTTCAAGATCTGCTTCAGTTAGACTAAAGTCCAAAATATGTTTTCTGACGTACTCACTGTGCATCTTCCCGAGGCAAGGTACTCACGTGATTTGATGCACTTTGTAAAGTAAGACCCGTCTTATTACACTATAGATCTTGATTATCTATCAGATCATCTTCAATGGGTGCCACCATTTTATTTGAAACAAATGCAAGTGATATCAGAGTTGGAATCTGATTGGTCATAACTCATATTAGCCACTGGTGGTGCTACGAGGGAGCCAAGGAATTCCAGCCTAGTGGCCAAGGGTGGAAACTGGGCTTTTACAGTCAGTTGACTCCCTTGCCTCAGGAAGATGTCAGTGTGAGGCATATGATAAAACTCTGACAGAACTTAGTAACCAAAAGAATTCCAAAGTTTTACATCGTATCAGCAATATTGTATCCTTATAGTGATATACAATAATAATAAACACATTTAGAATATATTAATAGATAAAAGTCCTTAAAAAACTTGACATTTATCTTTAGTCCCTTTTTTTATATACATGGGCGGCTTGTGATCATGGTGATGTGCGTCTTATGTCAGATATGCCAGGATCTTTGTGTCCAATACTACTACTTTGTCGTAGCTGAGTTAAACAGGGCCAGGATCAGTATTTCACATTGTACATGACCTAGATGAGTCTGTCCCCAATTGTGTTCATGCTACCAACCACTGGTTTGTCTGGGTGATATGAATGCAATTACTTACTTGTCACCATGATATCGCTGCAAACTTGCAGTTATGATTAATATTTCATAAATATTTTCTTAACGTTACAGGTTGGTTCCCTCAATGCATGCTTCATGGCCAAGAGAGGTTTTCATGTTGACTTATATGAAAAGAGGCCAGGTAGGTTTGCTTCCATTGTTCTGTGAATTATATGTTGGTGTTGTACATGTATAGTGCAAGCACAGATGCAGCTCTTTTGGAAACCTTTCGTAATTTGGCTATTCTTGAAGAGTAGTCTTGTCATTTTGTTGAAAACAAAGCATCAAATTATGTATTTGTTCTTTTACATTTTATGCTTATTATTCTTGATCACAGGTGGTTGTAAAAAACTCTGAAAGTGAAAAGGTTTAGCGTTCTTCTGCAGCTGCTTCTGGATCATTATTTACTGACCAAAGAGTGTTTGTTCATGTTAATACTACATAGTTTGTAATGTTTACCGTTGCGGCATAACCTGCCAGATAATTCTGCCTGTGCTGGGCGGTCAAAAATAATATACACTGCATCAAGTTTAACATCTGAAAATCATGAAATTAATTATCAAAACATCGCAGCAGCATGAAATTTCTCTGTCAGAAGCAGCTGCCTGACCCGATATTTTTGTAATCAGAACTATGAGTCGAAATTTAATTTTTAAAAAATAAAAAAATAAAAAGAATCTTATGTGCCATACAATTTCTTTTTTTCCAACTGTCTGAGGCATTATTATGAAATCCCAGCTATGAGCTGCAGATTTTTGTGTACATCATGGAGATTTTCCCTGAGTGCTGATACACGTTTTCCTTAGATATCCGCACACAGGAAATAGTGAGGGGGAGAAGCATCAACCTTGCCCTGTCCCACCGTGGTCGACAGGCATTGAAGCATGTAGGGCTTGAAGATGAAGTCGTGAAGAATGGTATTCCTATGTATGCCCGGATGATACATGACATGGATGGAAGCACAAGACCCATTCCCTATGGCAGGAGTGATCAGGTATGTGGTTACTGCAACTGGACCTGTATTCCAATCATGTCCTATGTGTGCCCTATTGATGGGAGGTTGAAAGGCCAGGACTCATGGCTGGCCATTGCATTCTGTGATGATTAACTGCTGGAGGTAGTGAGGTATGATATGAGCAAGTGGGCATGAGAGTTTTTGTCTTCAAAGACAAAATATGGACCAGCATGGCATGCAAACAGCACAACTATTGGTGCCAATATGTTGTCTCGATGGTACTGTCCAGTGATCCTTCAAGTTCAATGCATTCTGGCAGTCATAGTGATCCTTCCCATCTGTCATGTTGCCTTACATGGATGTTCACATGGCATTCGTTAGGATGCCTCCAGACACATCCACACCTATACGGAAACTCCAGAGTGAATCTAGACTCAGTTCATCCAGTTTCTACACTCTCAACTCAATTGGCATCTGCCTAGAATGTTTTGCTTTGTTAACGGTGGCACAACACAGGGTTGACCATCTTCCCGAGGCAAGGGAGTTAACTGACTATAAAAGTCCAGTTTCCACCCTTGCCGAACTAGGCTGAAATTCTGGAGTCACATTTTCGCAGTGCTAATGAGTCTATACATAGTCCAATCAAAATCTTGGTTCTTAAACAACATTGATTTCAACATGCAGATTTCGGTCAACTGAAGGATTTGCAAGGGATATGTTCCACCAACTGCGTGTTGACAGATATTTTGCAAATCTTTTCATGTTTTAATCAATGTGCTCAAGTGATCTCATGCAAATCTCAGGGTAAGGCCTACATTACAATATAGATCTTGATTATCGATGAGATGGTCTTGACTGGGCACCGCCATTTTGTTTGAAGCAATTGCAGAGATATTAGAGGTGGAATCTGGGACATAACTCGTAATAACCCCTTGTGGCGCTATGATTGAGCCTTGAAATTCCAGGTAGTTCGGCGAGGGTAGAAACTTTCCTTCCATGCCTCGGGAAGATGGGGGTTGACGAGCATGGAGATGATTTCTAATTGTCTGGTCTGTAACTTGAACTCTGGTGGCCTGGCGCAAGTCAACAGTATGTGATTGACTGTTTGGTCTTGATTTCTTAAAGCCTGGTTTCTGATTAATTCATCCTGCACTTGGCCTCGGGCACACTGTGCTTGGCTGATCATTAACATTTTGTGTCAACAGAAACAAGTTCCACAGTCTGCAAGTCAACAGTAATCTGTATGGTGTAGCAGGGTGTGGAGTCGTCCCACAAATGACATCCTTACCTTGTCAGCTTGCTGACGGGGTTAACCTCTTTGGTCATGTGGACAAGGCGTCCGACCTCGGATCAGAAGGTCTGTGGTTCGAATCCCACCACGGGACTCGGAAATTTTATTGCCTCTACATTTGCCAACTAGGTGGTCTGAGCACGTTCATATTAAATTTGAGCAAAATAAGCCTCAGTACCCTACTATGCGGCCCGGGATGTGCCTTCTGTTGACGGGGGAGTATGTAGCAGAGCGTGACTTATTACCTGCATTGAATATGTGTGATGTATTTGTGTTAATTTCTATAATTGATTAAGATTTGTCTTTAAACTTAATCTATTTGTAGGTCTTGAACTTCATAACCGTTATGTCAAAATTACTCTCTCGCCTCAACGCGATTGGTTTACATCATCAGTTCTACCAGTCTGAAGCATGCCCATAGCCCTTTGGCATTCATCACATCGTAGACGACACATTCCCACTCAGACAAATACTGCATTAAAAGCTAGAGTAGAGAGTATACAGTGTGTTACTGTGTAGAATTTTCTATCTAATTTAGATATTACACACAAAGACAATCAATTCATGATCAATTTGTTGAATTCCAACAGTGAAAATGTTATCAAATCTTTAGGAATGTATTTAAAACATCTACTTAGACTGAGGTGAATATATACTCACAAGCAAAAGAAACGCAAGTCGAGTATGCAGTATACATGTTATTTATTTTCAACAGTAAAAACAAGAAATACTAATAGGGCAAGATTGACAAAAATTAACTGAAGACAGTTTAATGGATTAAAAGGCAGATGATATAATTGTTTTTTTCACATGTTAAGGGCTTACACAGTTTCGGGTCAATACCCAAAAGAACAGTCAATACCTGGTGTGACCATCATTAGCATTGATCACTGCCACACATCTCCTGTACATTGAGTGGATCAGATGATTTGTGAAGGCCCTAGGGATCCTCCTGCACACATCCAGAGCAGCTGTGCGAAGTTCATTGGCAGTTGTAGGGACTGGGCGCACATTGTGCAGACGCCTTTGAACCTCATCCCACAAGTGTTCGATGGGGTTCAGATCAGTGCTGAGGGCTGGCCACGGTAGATCACGGATGTTGTGTTGTTGCAGAAAGACCATGGTAGCTCTGGCAACATGGGGACGAGCGTTGTCCTGCTGGAAAATGTGTTGTTGATGTTGTGCAAAAAATACCGCTGAGCAGTGACGCCGTGTCCCCGACTTTGACCAACATTCAGAAAGCACATGGGTCCAAGTCTCGCATTAAGTCCAATCCCTGCTCATATCATGACGCTAGGTCCACCCAATGGATCCCTTTCCACAACGTTTCTGTCAGCGAAACGATCACCTCGACGCCGCCAAATTCTGACTCTTCTGAATGCATGGGAGACAGAAAAGCGACATTCATCAGAGAAGATGACACGCCTCCACTCACGATGTCGCCAATTGTGATGACCCTGTGCCCATTGATGTCGTGCTTGTCAATGCCGTGGTTGGAGAACAGGACGATGTGCTGGTGGGCGACATCTGAGGTTGTTGGAACAGAGTCGTCGGATCACAGTGTCCCGGCTAATGTGTCGATTATGTGTTCCTATGGTCTGTCAAGCAGTTTCACTTGCAGTTAGGAACGGATCACTTAAAAAAAAAATCCATCTATACAAGCTTGTATATGCTTTGGAATGATTATATTTCCAAAGCATATACAAGATTGGAATGATGATATATACAAAAATATACAAGTTTGTATATACGACATATACAAAAATATACAAATTTGTATATATGGTATATCCAAATTTGTTTTCTTTGTATATATTGGTAAAGGGAGATTATTGTTATGTATTTGTGTATAATTATTATATATATGCAAATTGAAGTGTTTTAAGTTGAGCACTGTGTTTCTTTGTATATGTTGGTAAAGGAGGATAATTGCTATGTATTGTTCTATAATTGTTTTGTATGTGCAAAATAGTATCAGCAAGTTACAAAAAACTGATATCGTGGCGTGTAACATTACTGGAATGTTTAATTAGCACTCCACACTGTTAGCGGGAGTACATACTCTCCTTGCAATGATATTGACGGGTAAGCGATTGAGGCGTCTGGTACTTTTCCTTGCGCGGTGCTTGGTATGTGAGTAGACTTTATGGTCAAATGCACAGAGAGGATAAGCTGTCGGGGGTGATTGCATTGGCGGTGACTTCTGTTTTGAAAGTGTTGAAATCAATTTGTGCTGAGCTTGGATTCGTTTGTACGGGGAGGCCGCGATGTGATTTGTAACATGCTCTTGTGCACATGGCAGATTAGCCAACAGAGCGGATTGCACAGAGGATGAAAACTATTTTATTATTAATTTAAAGTGTTGAATTTGGTTTGTTCTTAGGTGTTGGTTTAATTGTAGGGTATACATTGTTATAATGTCAAATCTAGGCGGAACGCAGAAAAGCGCATTTTTTAAAACGACAGTCTTTGGAAAAATCCTCTTCAAAATATAATCAAAGATATTTTTTTAAAATACTCCGAAAATATTGTGTTGCCGGACAACCCTGGCAGATTGTCCTGTTTCCTATCAGAGTTTTCAGCATCAAACATGCCTTTATCATTATTCATCACACAACTATGAATGTTTATTCAGCGTCCGAAAACCCATAACACGGGGATATATGTTGTATTAATGTCTTATGTTTTACAAAAGATAATAAGTACAAAGGTATGCTTTTCTCAATATGCTTCAACATGGGAAAAGGGACATTGCACGTTTGTGGCAGTATTGCTCCCAGGTGGCAGCGTCGTCCACTACTGCCTACATCCACTAATGACTACGGTCTACAATAAACAAAGTCATGCACCAGTGATTTTCAGTGACACCTGCTATCAGTGCATCATTTCTGCATCATTGCATTAGTTCTTATAGTATACACCAGCAGATATTTGATGATTTCAAAGAAATTTCAAAGAGTTCATTCCTAGCATGGGTATGTTGTTTTCATTATGTAGGCATTATTCCATACTGCTTTATTTTTTTGTAGGCAATAGTAACTGTAGGCAAAAGTGGACGTAGGCATTAGTGGCTGGAACCCGGGTGACCGGGTGCGCAGAAACTATTCCCGATTTTTTTAAAGTACTGATTTAACACCGAAATTTTACATCCGCCATCTTTGCATTTTTTACTTTTGCCACTGTTACATTTGTTGGTATGAATATTGTCCAAACGGCACAAAATTGCTTAAAATGCAATCAAATGTTCAAAACATTTCTTGGGGCTCAGCCTAATATCGTTAGCAAAGTCAACAAACTACGACCATAAATGTAATGTACAACAGGCGCAAGAAAGTTTTAAAAAATTCCTACAAATACAAATGATAAGAAGTCGAATATGAATATCAGATTAAATTGATATGTTCTTTACTTATGTAAACAAATGATAAAAAAATAATTAACAGTGAGATACTCTGGCTATTGTGCAAAGCATCCAGTCCCAATGAAAGTGAACAGCATGCCGATGTTATACAAAGCAATCATATAACATATCGCAACTGATAGTTCTAAACAATTAGGCAATCAACATAATGACGGTATCAGTGGGCACATCGTGATATTTGAAGATAAAAAATGATAACACAGCAGTCTGGGAAGTAATACACAGCATCTTGACAATGAACAAAAAGAAGAAGAAGAATAGTTTATTAAAGTGTCACTATTTAAACAACCAGCCATTTTGGCTTTCGAGACAAAATACGCATCACAC